GCCCTTAGAGATAACTCTGAAAAAGCATACTGATGTATTCATGGCTGTTAGCAATGAAGACAGGCTTAGAGTCTCAGTTTTCTGATATCTGCTCCAATTTTTTTACATATATCTCTGCCGTCTCAAAAATACTAACAAACAAATAAACAAACACAAACAAACAAAACTGGTATTTGGAAAGGTACGTACTTCCTTGTCAGTGGCCTATGCTCTCCTTTTTACATGGACCTCTTCCTTCATTCCTTTTGGTGTTGTGAGCCTGAGTCTCCCTCATTCCTACTTCCTCAGGGACTAAACTCTTGTCAGCCAGTCTCCTTTATTCCTGTATCTCCAATCCTCCTTCTCTATCATATTTTTTCCCTTAATATATATATGCGTGTCTCTACCATCAACCATCTTAAAACAACAAGAACACAATAAACAAAACCACCCCCCTTGATCTCCAAATCCACTTCCACTTACCCCAGTGACTTCCTTATTTTTTGACAGTGATCGCACATGTTACACCTGATGGTCACTTTATATTCTTACATTAGCGAGAATTTCTTTTCGACATTCCTTTTCTTAATTTTGTTTTATTTTTAAAATTTCCTTTTGACCTTCCTTTTTCATCTGGTCTCTGGGATATCACTGTCTTCCTACTTTTCTGTTTTCCTCCTATTCCTTAAATATAATTTTCTTTCTTGCACATCTTGTTTCCTCTCTCTACACATTTGTTTTGGGCAATCTCATCCATGTTGAGGGTACCAAATGCTTATTTCCTGATGATTTTCTAAGGGATGGTGATGTCCAGACTTGTTTCTAACTCAGACCTCTCTGTTGGGCTCTGGACTTGTACATTCAGCATCTTTTAGGCATGCCCGTTGGGCTAGATACCCCTACATCCTACAGATGCTCAAACTCAAAATGTCCAGAATGAGGTTTGACTTTTGTCCAGGAATGTCAAACTCCTTTAAAAAAGGTGCCCCACCCACACAACATGAAAACCGGAAACATCGGATTCATCCTAGGAGCTTCCCTTTCACTTAATCCTCAGGATGACCTTGTTAAATATCTGTGGAATCTCTTTCTTATGTATCTTTCATATCTATTACGCTTCGCAGTTGTCTTCCTCTCTTTCCATTCATTCAGCCGCTCCCTTAACAGAGGCCCTCTTCGCTTCTTGTCTGGCTTCCAATCTTTCCTCTGGTGAATGCAAATCTGAGCATGTTATGCCCCCGATCACCATCACTTTCAGGGTCAAGTTGAGCCAGCTGCTTCCCCATGCAGAGTGTATTGAGTGCTCAACCCTAGCTGCCTTGCTGTGGCTAGTCCCGACCCTCCCTGCTATACCTGTTCCCTCTTGGCCCCTTCAGTTCAGTCCTCAACACCTTTGTTCATTTGGTGTTATCCTGAAACATTAGTTTTTCCTTCTTACTCCTGCTATTCCCTCTCTTTCGTCACCTTGCTGACTCCTACTTATCCGTCAAAATTTAATTAATGTTATTCCATTCCTTAGGAAGCACTCCTTGTCACTCCAGTCAAGTTTAAATATTCCCTTTGGTGTTCTCAGCCACTTTCTCGATGTCTGTTTGGGAGGCAGCATGCTTTAAGGTTAACAGCAATGACTCTAGGGCAGACACAAATTGTTTGGAGTCACATACCAGCTTTGCTGCTTCCTAGCTGTGTGATCTTGGCTGGGCAACTTACTCACCCCTTGCCTCAGTTTCCTCACTAGTAAAATGGAGATGTGAATGGTTGTGCCCACTTCGGAGGACGGTTAGGAGCGTAATGAGATGATTCATGTAAGATGCCTGGAACAAGGCTTACAACATGATGAGTCTGAATAAAGCGGAACTAATTTTGCTATCATCATAACCATTGATTTACTCATGTCTGCCTGCTTTCCAAAACAAGCAGAAAGATCTTTGAGGGAAAGAAATCACTCTAGATTTGACTGTGTCCAATCAGCACCTAGCACTGTACCTGGGATGTTGTGGATACTCAGTAAAGACTCACAGAATGAATGAATGCATAAGAATAGTAAATATCTGAAGTATAGAGTTAAAACCTTACTGTTAAAGCATGCTAATGAGTAAGACTGCTCTAATTTTATGTGTTTTTTAACTTGTACATAAGGTGTTAATGGCATCTCATTAACTTATTGTACACCAACTCACTGTTCTCTGAGTCAAGAATCTTCCACTCTCGACAGAAGGGCACAATGTAATTAATTAACAGAACTGTTATTCTGGAAAGCAATATGTAGCCATGAACTGTGACAAAATTCCTTTGAGACACACTCAGAGAAGCAAAATGTGAATTCCTCTCAGAAAGAGATCAGAAAGCCTAACAAGCTAAAGGGGGAAAAACAGAGAGACCGTGTGAAAAAGTTGACTTTAGACACCACCTTCCCTGAGCCCCCACTGTGCCACTGCTGTGAGCAGTTAGTTAGGTTTGCTGACTGACTCATCACACAGAGAAGTGGGCCTGAAATAATTCTCTAGCCTCTGCCCCGGGAATCCTGACAGCGAAGAATCCGACTGAAAAAAAAATGTGATCAATGAGATGGCAGCAGGCCTCAATCGTGGCCATTTTTCCCCTTCATGTTCTTCATGAAAGTGCCGTTTCTTGTTTACTTTGAAATATTTCTCAAATACAGAAATCCGCCTCTCCCTTCCGTAAGGCTCCTTTGAGCCCCAATGGAAATGCTACGTAACGATGGGCACCTGATACCTGCCGTTTGGGGTATCTTAAAAAGATATTTTCACCCTTACTAGTTATTATCAGGTACAGGGTACTTCAAGGAAAGATCAGTCTTGAATCTGCATCTGGAATGCTACATATATTTTTGCCCAAAGTAAAGTATTTGACCAAAAAAGTAAGCTATATGACAAAATGAGGCTATAACCCACCTTCTGCTACACAGTTTTCACGTTGTAGAAAGACCTGAACAACTTTAAAAACATCGCTAAGGACTTTTTATAATTAGAAATTAATGAAATTCTTTAATGCAAGGGCTGAGTAGAAATCCTTGTTCTCTCTTTGCTTGGTTTGTCTTCCTTCCTGTCCAGGTGTAGCTTTACAAAACACGAGGGTATAAAATGAAGATGACCCCCTCCCCTAACTTAGGGAGGTGAATCACCTCTTTCTCTCTAATTTACTTTCTAAATAAGCTATATTTTCTGGCTGGGTGTGGTGACTCATGCCTGTAATCCTAGCACTTTGGGAGGCAGATATGAGAGGATTACCTGAGCTTCAGAGTTCAAGACCAGTCTGAGCAACACAGAGAGACTCGTCTCTACTATAAACCAAAAAATTAGCTGGGCGTGGTGGCACATGTCTGTGGTTCCAGCTACTTGAAAGTCTGAGGTGGAAAGATCACCTGAGCCCAGCAGGTCGAGGCTGCAGTGGCTGCGAGCGTGCCGCTGCATTCCAACCTGGGTGACAGAGTGAGACTCTGACTCAAAATAAATAAATAAACAAACAAAAGCAAACAAAACACTATATTTTCTAATCTAATAAAATAAAAAAAATGAAGACGAGGGACTTTAAGTTATTTCATAGAAACTTATAGAATTGCAGTCAAATATGGAATTGTCAATTTTATTTTTCAGTCATAAAACATTTAAAAAATATGATACAAATAATGCAGAAGCCAGACAATAGTTTGATTTAACTAATTTTAACTGAGGAAAGTAAAAATCCCTTTTTAACAATTCCAACTTATAATTCAGTAAAAAGAGGGTTTAACTAATTAGTTTAATTCTAGGGCAAGAATAGCCTCAGTCTTCTTTTCAATTAGATATGGCTTAGATCAGAACTGCAATGAGCAGACACAGAACTAAATGCTTTATGAATATCTGCATTCTACCATCGTAACAACCCCATTAATTAATATTCTAATTTTTTAGATCAGGAATTCAAAGAGATTAGGCAATGTACCTGAGGATTTGGGTTTGAACCTGAGAATGCTAACTCCAAAGTCTGTGTACTTTCTGCTATATTACAGTCAACCATTAGAAAAAAAAATCCAAAAGAGATCCAGCAGAAATGGGAAATGGATTGAGATAATTCTTTGACCAGACCCAGTAACATAAGCACTCAGTTAAAGGGGATGAATTGGGGGGAGCAGGGTGGGGACTTTTGGGTATACTGAGCATAACACCAAGGTTTTGTTGAAGGTCACAGGGACACAGGTTGATCTCCTTCTCCCAGTCCATGGTCTCCCTGACTCACTTCGTTTCAGCATTTTGCATGTAACCTGGAAGTCCTATGTATTATAAATTCCTAAAGCTGAATTTACAATTAGGTCCTGAGGATAAAAGGGTCCAGTTAAGGCAAGAATTGCACTTCTCCAATGCAACGGGCCTCCTCCTCACCTTGCACAAACCAAGTCCCCAAACCACAGACTTCCTCAGGAGGGTTGGCTCCAAGGCCAGCTTGGCTCAGTTAAGCAGCACCTGTCCTGCTCTGCCTGTGCTGGTTCCTGTACGATTGGTTGAGTCCAGTGAGAAAGTGCACTGTTAGAGGGTGTGTGGGCATGGGGCACTTTAGCAACCCTGCAGCCTCAGAGTTTCCTGGAATTACAAGTACTGTGGGCTTGGTGGCCTCCTAAACTCACAGATGTTTTTCTTTATTATCTCTGTTTTCCTTCATGTTATTCCCCCACTCCCTGTTGCTCAGACCACTTTACACAATCCCCTGTCTACTTTTACCCCATCTCCTTGGAGACAACTACACAAAACAAGAAACCTTAAATACACATTTATCTCCCTCATCTTTCTTGAACATCACAGCTTGGGAGTCTCCTTAGGTGCTGCCTCCTTGAGAGCACCCCAAGGACAGGGACTGGGGTTGGAACCCAAATTCAAGTTTTTGTACCCACCTGCAGTCCTGCTCTTGGAACAAGTGAAACCACCCACCGTGTCTGAATCAAGTGGAGTTACATAATCGGGACTCAGACCAGCCTGTGATGATATAAGTGGCTACTTATGAGTTGACAAAGAACTTATACTCACATTTCAGCTCGAGCTTGATGAAATCTTTGTTTCCCATATTTTCAAGAAACACTCCCCGGGGGGTTAATGTCTTGAAGTAGAAAGAAATGTCCGCGCTGGTTTCCCCTTGGAAAGTAGAGAAGTGCAGGTAGGATGAAGGGTTTGGGAAAGAGGCAGCATTCCAGTAATTCCCTGTGGGAAGAAAAAAAAGCAGGTTAACTCACACCATAATCAACCCTTTATGAAAAAGATGTCCATTTCTTGAGTTTAGTAAACTCCATTGGCAATGACTCTTGTTTCCTCTCATTCTGTCGAACAATGTTGCACCAAGTCCACAACAAACTTATCTCTGACTTTCCAAGTTATATGTGTGTATATCTAATATTTTATTTATGTATTTGAATATTTAAAATACTGATAGATAACATATTCGATGAATTAAATATCAATATATAATGTATATAAAATATATAACAATAAAAATGTATATCATGCATATAAAACCTTTTTTTTTTTTTTTTGAGTTGGAGTCTCACTCTGTCGCCCAGACTGGAGTGCAGTGGCCACTGATAGTTAGGCCTCCTACCAAAGTGTCCTGGAGGAACCTTAGGGGATAAATGCCAACGGAGATGAAAACTGAGAGAAGCCCCCAGTGTTACTGCACGTGGGCCCTGTGGTGGGGGGGGGAGGGTTCTGTATGTGTACTGGTGGCATTGGTTTAGCTTTAGCTAGACCTAAGGATGATAAAATAAGAAAGGAGCTGTTGGTATTCTGCTCTTGCTTTTCAACACCTTTGCCTTGGAAGAATCAGTGCCCTCTCCTGTGCTAGCAGCCACTCAGATACCTGGTACAGGTGTTTCAGGAATATATCTGGGGAGCTCTGAAGCCCTGAGGAGGTGAGGGGCTGAGGACAAGGCAGAGGTGACCAGGCTGGGCTAGGGAAGCTTCTTCACCTCTTCTGCTCCAAACTCTCAGAGGTGAGTTGACACCAAAGGAGTGGCTCCCCAGTAACCATTTCCTCCTGGGGACTCCCGGTGAAGCGCCAACCAGTGGGGGGCTGGGTGATGGGATGAGCCCATCTAATGGTGCTATCAGCTCTGCACCTTGAGCTCTTGGAGAAGATGTGGCCATATCTGCTGCCCCTTCCTACTCATTGCCTGATAGAGAAGCCAGTGTTCCCAGGAGAAAAGCAGTTCACGAAATAAAACAAAATAAAAACACCAAACTGGATTACTCAGATTCCACCAAGACAGATGGACCAAGAATTTAATAGAAGATCAAGAGTTGGCCCTCAATTGCATCTCTCGGGAAGACATTTTATTGTGCACACTGCTGAGTACATTTACTATCACAGTTAAAGACTAAGATATATGGGCATGTTTTAAAGCAGTTACTAAAGCCTTTAGCTCTAATACAAAAACTAAAATGTATGCTTTAAAAGAAAACCATATTTGTAACATCTTTCCTCCAAAGAGCACAATGAATCAAATACGTGCATTCCATTCGTTTCTATTCATATACAAACTATATTTTTCCTTCCTTTTATGCAAATTATACACAGATACAATGTTAACTGAACTATTTTTAAATAAATGTAACTTTTGTGTTGGTTCTGCTATACTTAGGTCATAATTTTAAATTAAACGTATAATATTGCTATATTATGAGATACCAAAACACCCTCTTATTTAATGAATGCTATTTATTTCTGTTCTTAGAGACATCTAGAATATAGTGACATCTAAGTAAGTGTGTGGCACATCAAAAGATAAACTTAGGCATATTATAATCTTAACAAGTTTATTTGAGCATTCAGCAATCCATGAGTTGGGCAGCACCAGAATGCAAGGGGTTCAGTACTCCCCTGTGGGAGAGGGACAAGAGAGGAAACATTTATAAAGTGTTTGTGGAAGCAAGACAAAAAGAATGCTTGATTGGTTAACGTGGACAGTCTTTAATTAGAGATCAGTTGGTGGCTTCTGATTTCTGATAAGCTTAAGTTTCAATGTACTATTTACACTGAATTGAGTTTTGGCTTTCTTACATAGGAACTCAAGGTTCTGCAACCATCTCAGCCTAATGGACTCCCAATTAATTATTTTAGCAGGCAATATGTAACTGGTAAGTTAGTGCAAAAGATGTTTATAAAGATTTTAATTAAGGCAAAAGCAGTGGTGGTGGGAGTGCTGGGGGAATCCATTGTTCTTAAGGTATCCTAAAAGTCTTAGTGCTGTCTTAAGCTAGTAAACTAACAAAAACTACAAAGTCATAGCTTTTAGTAGGAGAAAAATAGACTAATTTCTTCTGAGGAAGGAGAATATTGTATGATATTGGATAGGATAATGTTGAAAAAGAAAGACTCATATCATAAATGTTGCTATTTTCTGGAGTGAGCCCTCTTCTGGCTCAACATCTGGCTTACTACACAGTGAGAGGACCTCAGGTTCATCTAAGTCAAATTAGAAGCCACAACCCTCTCACCCCTCAGAGGCCTAAAGCTGGGAGGGAAGGAAGAAGAGTCCCAGAGCCAGAATGACTCAACTCATCCTAATTGGGTGAGAACCCTTCAAGGACCCAGGAGCCTGCAGAGATGGAAGTCCCCAGCCACACTTCAGCCTTAAGCAAAGCAATTCTGTCTCTTTAGGCTGTATCCCCAGGACATGAAAGTAATTAACATTTTAAAATTTCAATCCAATCAAGCACATTATTATTTTCTGAGGTGGGGATGTAGTAACAGAAGGGCAGTTGTCTAAAATGATTCTAGAAAAAGGGAAGTTAAAAGTAAAACACGTCAGTATTTATTTGCAGTCCAGCACTAGTTATTCAGACAGAAATATCCCCAGAGAGGAGAAGGGTAGTTCCATCATTTATTATCGTTTGATGGAATATCTCTGTAGACCACAATTCCATTTATTTTAATCCTATACTCACTAAGCAACTTCAATCTAATTTGGTATCTTGAATGGACTTGTTCATACAGAAATCATGCCTTGTACAAGTGTTGCTTACAGTGTCTTGAAAATGTCTGGAGTGTCATAAGATATCTTTGGCGTTGTCCCTTGTGAGTTGTCCCAGATCTCTGGATGGATTTATTCTTATGTACACACTATATGAATACAGTAGTTACATGGGTAAAAATGATAAGTAAACATGCTTAATGGGATGTGGCTTAAAGGCTTTTAATGAATGGCGTGTAAAAAAGCCTGGATTCTCTGCTCCAGACCACGGTTAAGGCTCTCTCAGTTCTATTATGAGGACTCTGTTGCCCAGTCTCTGGCACTCTTGGTTTTAACAAAATCACATGAGTGTTTTTTGCTCTTCATGATGTAAAGGGCTTGTAGCATTATTATTGCTGGTTGCTGTTGCTCCCAACTGATCATAAACTTCATGAAAGTTGAGATGAAACCATTTCATCTCTGTAATCTTTGCCCTTAGAATACTGTAAGAGCTCACTCATAAATAATGATTAAATCAATGGATAAGTGATTAGTTGCTCCTCTCATTTATATCCATTTTCACTCCATATGCAAAGTCCTCGTGGGACATAATGTGCTTTTCAGCAACCTGAGCACTAAAGATGCTAAATAAACATAAATAAAAGTTAATGTTGCCTTGGCATCTACTGATAACTGGATACTGCTTCTGCTAGCATCCCATCATTTTCCTTACCTGTGATTTTATTTCTATTTCCTATAGACTTCATTGAACAATGCCGTGCATTTGCAAGACTGATGATATCGTAACCTTAAGGTTATGGAAAGTGCTGCCATTAGTGTGTGCAACCAAGGTCAGTGCTGTGGAAGGAAAAGGGAAAATGGATGGGAATACCAAATTGAAAACAGTATGGCAAGGACTGAACCAGAGCAGGTGGCAGGGCCAGCGCCAGCATGGTTAGGCAGAGGAAGAAAGGTTGGAAACTGAGACACAAGGTATGAAGCAGAATAGAAATAAGTGTCTGAGACAGGAAGGGCCAGCCAACAGTAATAGTGGATATAAGTGGGCCAGCAATCCAGTCCAGAGGTGGAGCAATAGTATTCAAAAGCTGTACAACATGGTTGGGATGGCACTGAAGACAAGGAGCTTTTTTTTTTTTTTTTAAATTGGTGTCTCATTGTGTTTCTCAGGCTGGAATGCAGTGGCACAATCATGGCTCACCGCAGCCTTGTCCTCCTGGCCTCAGTTTTCCAAGTAGCTGGGACTATAGGCACGAGCCACCACATTCAGCTAATTTTTTTGAGTTTTTTTTTTCCCGTAGAGAAGAGGTCTTTCTATGTTGCCTAGGCTGGTCTTGAACTCTTGGGCTCAAGCAATTCTCCTGCCTCAGCTTCCCAAAATGTTGGGATTACATAGGCATGACTCTCTGCACCTGGCAAGAAGTTTTTTTTAGAGATGGAGTCTTGCTATGTTGCCCAGGCTGGTCAGGAACTTCTGGCATCAAGAGAAGCTTTTTAATGATATGCTTGGCATGGTTAGGGTTCATCACGTGCGGCAAGAGGCACCAGGAGGTGCCTCCAGTTAGTGTAGGAGAGTGGACGGGGACAGCAAAGCAGCTGGCTGATCTTCATCATCACTTCAAACCTCAGTCAATCATCAGTAGAAAATGCAGCAACACATATTCATCCAAATTCTTTAATGGCCACTTACTTCAATCTGACCAATGACGTTTTGGCATTCTTATGTAAAAATTTCTGAGGGTGTTTTCTGATGGGCAATATTCACTTTTAACTTTTGTTTCTAACAAAGTACTACTTGCACATAGTTAGAAAAGTCTAGTGGTGCTAGAAGGGCTATAGCAAAAAGCAGTTCTCTGCCTCCCCTCCACCCCCTCCAAAACCAATTCCTTAGAGACACTCCCTTTTAACACTTTTAACTCTTTCAGTCATACACATGTATTTTTTTTTTAAAAGAGCAAAAACCTGTGTAGTTATTTATTAATTTATACCTTTCAGATATCCTCTATTGATTTTCCTGAGTATAAGATGAGGATTTAGTACTTTTATAAACCTGCTTCCCTAGTTCTTTTTTCTATATTCTCCTAAAATAGCCAAATCACAGATTGTTGGTTATATGTGGATATATTTAGATTTAATTCTGGTGTGGCAGCACACTTTTGCCTATAATTTCAGTGAATTCAGAGTCTGAGGTCAGGAATAGGAGACCAGCCTGGACAACAGAGCAAGACCCCCAACTAC